TTGTTTCCAGCAGTGTCAGCTCCTGCCCAAGTTCTCAGCCTGCTGCTGACCTGCCCTATGAATTTCAGACTTGCTTAGTTGAACCCTACTATCTATATGCAATTCCTGAAAATCTCTGTACAAAAGTATCCTACTGGTTGTTTCTCTAATAGGACCCTGACTAATACAACTCAACTGGTTGGTTGGTTGTTTTTTTAAGATCATATTAAAGAGTTCATTTAAACATAATTTCTTTTTTTAATTTAAATTCTTTATTGTTTAAAGTATTACATGTTTCCCTTTTCCCCCATTGATCTGTCCCCGGCTGTTCCCAACCCCCAGCACATGCCCTCATCCCCTTACTGCCTGTGTCCATGGGTTATATACATGCATACAAGTACTTTCATAATTAGTGTTTCTTATACATAATTTTAAATCTTTTTTATTCAACAAACAACCCCCGATATCCAATTTACTTTCAAAGTACATTATAAGAAAACATGATTTTTCCACAAATTATTTCAGGTATGGTGTAGGGATCAAATAAGCAATAACACGAGTAGATTTAATGATGTCTTTCTGGGTCAAAGTAGACAAAATTATTGGCATGTCTTGATGCTTGAAATTATTGCATTTTACTTTTTATAAAAAAACAATGACTTTGTTTTTTATGATTTTCCAGGATTTTAAAAAAATAAACTATTTGCCATCAACCTTGTTTCCGTTCTGAGTTTGTGGAAGAACAGCTTAGGACCACTCTGGTTGTTCCTACCCATTTGCTGGCCTCAGCAGGGGGGGCTGCAAACAGGTCTTCAGTGGCAGGCTGAGCAGGAAACTGCATTATGGGCACAGAGGGCACCTGCACGCCTTCAGGCCTGTCTGCCGACCTCAGGCTGAGCAGCAGTGAACTTGGGAGCGGGTGCAGCCATTTCAGCAGCAGCTTGCTCTTCCTTTTCAATCTCTTCAGTGTCTCTGTCTAATTTTCATTTTGTTTGTAAATGATGGAACTCTCAAGCTGCCTTCTCAAACACTTCTTTGTATTTGACGCATTGGGGAAGAAAGAGCTCAGGCCTCCTTCTGACTAGATGGTTAGAACTCAAAGGAAGTTGCAAGTTTGATGTGAAATTCCTGTTAGTGTTGAACACCTGAACCTGCCATAAGGGTAGACATAGCCACCTGTGGCAACTGAACACTTGAAATGTGGTTAGAGGAACTGAATTTTAAACTTTACTTATTTTTTTTATTAAATTTTTAATTAAAAAATTGGTAATTGATTCAGTTTGGAAACATTTTAAGTATGTTTGAAACAACGAGCACGTGAATATTTTTCTATGGTAAATTTAATTAAATCTAAATACAGGTCAGGTATTTCCAATGAAAAGTTAGCATGCAAATAGAACTTACACAAAGGGTAATATACACATTGCATTTTAAACTTATATGCAGGGTAATATACACATTGCATTTTAAACGTAGTACAAAATAGGAATGTAAAATGCCTCATTATTTATTTACTAGAGGCCCAATGCACAAAATTCCAGCCTGGTGTCCCTCAGCCCAGCCTGCACCCTCTCCAATGTGGGATTCCTCTCATAATCCAGGACTGCTGGCTCCCAACTGCTCACCTGCCTGCCTTCCTAATTGCCCCTAACTGCTTCTGCCTGCCAGCCTGATCACCTTCTAACCACTCCCCTGCCAGCCTAATCAACACCTAACTGCTCCCTTGCCAGCCCAATTGCTCTTAACTGCCCTTCCCTGCAGGCTGGTCTCTCCCAAACGCCATCCCTTGCAGGCCTGGCCCCCCCCCCAACTGCCCTCCCCTGCAGGCCTGGTCCCCCTCAACTGCCCTCCCCTGCAGGCCTGGTCCCACCCCCCCCCCAACTGCCCTCCCCTGCAGGCCTGGTTGCTCCCAACTACCCTCCTCTGCTGGCCATTTTGTAGTGGCCACCTTGTGTCCACATGGGGACAGCCATCTTGTGTGATGAAGTGATGGTCAATATGCATATTACTCTTTTATTAGATAGGATTAGATATGATTAATATTCTTGAGATTGCACTCAATAAAATAATTAAATGTCAGCAATTTCTTCATACTTTTAAAAAGTGGCTACTATAAATTTAAAATTACATATATGGCTCGCATTTTATTTCTAGTGGACATCCATGATCTAGACAGCCTGGCAAATGGAAACAACCCCTTAAATGGTGACTATTATTTGCAGAAAAGGAGTCAGAAATGTTATTAATTACGATTAACCGTGCTTAACATGTAACTTTATTTTTGTTAGTCCCTCAAGTTGTTTTTGCAACAGGGAGAGATAGAAGATAATTGTCCGGATAATGGATAACGAAATGGAATTATAAGGGGAGATTTCAGACTAGTCACTTCCTGTTTTTTTGTTGTTTTGTTTTTTTTAATCCTCATCCCAGGATATTTTCCCCATTGATTTTTAGAGAGGGGGGAGGGACTAGAGGAGAGACACATCCATTGATTGCCTCCCTCAGGCGCAGGGATCAAGCCTGCAACCCAGGTATGTTGCCCTGCACCCAAATCGAACACCCGACCCTCCCTTCCGAGGGCCGGCGCTCTAACCACTGAACTGCCCGCCAGGCCAAGACTAGTCACTTTCTGAACATGGTCCCAGGCCCAGAAAATGTCCCAAATTTCTACACTCGCAACACCAATGAGTGCCCCCCACAGCTCCCAACGCCCAAAACCTGTGGTCTTTCCCTGAAGGTTTTCAATTATTTCCAAAAGAGAACCGCCTCGAGTTCGAGAGGCTCCGGTGACCCCAAAACTCCGCGCTCCAGGTTCCCAGCCCCAAAGGCGGCCCGGAAAAGACAGTCGCAGAAGCGGGCTCGGGCTGGACCGCGAGCCGCACGGGAAGGCGGCGGGCCAGCTCGGAGAGTCCCAGACAAGCCCGCTCGCTGAGGGCCCAGAAAACTAGCGCAACCGCCCGGCGGGAGGCGGGCCCCCGACCCGGCAGAATCCCGGAGCCGGCTTGATGACGCACACAGAGCGCGACGCACGCACACGGCGCGACGCACGCCGCTCCGCGCTCGCACGACGGTGCGTGCTGGGAGCGCGAGGGAGTCCGGCCGTCACCGGCGCGACCAGCGTCTCCCCCTCCTCCGTACCCTGTCCTCCCGCCACCTCCGCGGCTCGGCGCCCGCCTCCTGCCTCCGTCCGAGGCCTTCGAGGTAGCGAGGCTCCCGGTCTCGCTCCTGTCTCTTTAAATGGTGGGGTCAGTGGGCCGCCCCTGCAGCTGCTGCCTGGGTGTCCCCGCGCGCCGCTATTGAGGGGCGAACCAAGATGGCGGCAGCTTTGGCTCCGTGAGGAAGACGGAAGAGGCGGCGGCAGCGGCGGCGGAGAAAAGAGATTTCCGATAGCCTGGGGCGCTCAGCTCCCGGGGGCCCTCGGAGTCTCCCGCGCAGGGGAAGTAGCTGCGGCTGGGGCAGGCGCCTGTCGGCGTGGGACACTTGAAGCCGGAGAGCGGAGCGGAGCCGCCGGCTGCGGTGGCAGGGCCAGGTGTAAGGGAGGAAAACATGGCGGCGGCGGCGGCCTGAGGAGGCGGCGGCGGTGGCGGCGCGGGAAGCGGCTTGGTTGGACATCATGGTGGGAGCGGGAGCAGGGCAGTGACCGGCGCCCCCAGTTTGCACCGCGGCCGGGCGGGAGGCTGCGAAGCGCTGCGCCCCCCCTCCCCTCGGGACGGCCGGGCTGGCCGGGGCTGGACAATAGCGCCGAGGCCCCGGAGGCGAGGAAAGGCGGCGGCCCACAGCTCTGCCCGGGAGCGGGCCATGCGGGCGGCAGCGCGGCCCCGCGGCGGCCAGCGGCGGCAGTGAAGCCCGGGAGCCCTCGGCTTGCGGGCGTCTTTCCGCCTCGGCTCCCGCCTCCCCGGCCCTTCTTCCTGGGCGACTCCGGCGGGGCCTGTGGCCCGGCCCCTGGGCGGCACGATGACCGACACCAGGCGGCGGGTGAAGGTGTACACGCTCAACGAGGACCGGCAGTGGGACGACCGGGGCACCGGGCATGTGTCGTCGGGCTACGTGGAGCGGCTGAAGGGCATGTCCCTGCTTGTCAGGGCCGAGAGCGACGGTGAGTGACCCCCTAACGCGGCGGGACGCACGGCCCTGGGTCCCCTCCCAGGTCCTTTTTGGCTGGGGGTTGGGGGCTCTTACTGCGAGGACGGAGGGGGCGAACCGCCGGTACCCCGGCCCCGGGAGCTGCTCGGAGGCCGCTGGAAATGGGTTCTCCCTCCCAGTGCCTGGTGGCTCCTGCGGGAAAGAGCCCGGCCGCTTCGGGCCGTGCCGTGCCGTGCCGCCTGGGAGTGTGGGGAGGTCGGAGACGGGATGGGGAGTCCGGACTGGGTTGTTGGGCGCTCCAGTGACCTTGAGAAAAGCACTGATTAATCCGAGCTGCCTCCTTAGTTCACCCATCTGTAAAGCAGGCATGCAACTCTTTTTTCGGAGCTGAGAAAGTTCTTCGCCGACTCCCTCTTTGGAAGAACATTTCGCTGTGTCTTTTTCTTTTTTAAACGTTTCTGCTACACCTTTCTGACCCTGTTGCAGGTTGCCTACAACTGGTTCGTGGTTCTGGCACCTCTACACGCGGTAGAGAAAGAAAAAAAAATGCTTCTTTGCTGTGAGAAAATAGAGTTAGGTTGCCCCAGCGTTAGTTTTCTTTTCCATTAGTGATGCAAAGTTTTGTGTGTCGTTTCACCGTGTAACGGTCTTGCAAGTTTGGAATCGTTCGGTGCCAGCTTTTTTCATTGCTTAAAAGGTGTATTCGTTATTTGGTTCGGTTAACAGGTGGGGGAAAGTTGGCAGATAATCTGAAAAACCGTTCGAATTTGCCCTGGTGCCTGTGCTTCAAATATTTGGAAATAGCCCTCAAGGTTCAAAGACCAAGTTGTTAAAAAAAATGTTGCACATTTTTAAAGATTGACTCTTTTGTGATTGCCAATTCCCTCTGTGGCATATGGTGAATTTCACTTAAAGAAAAATGTTCATGTCAGGTAAAACTATTTTCAAATTGCTTTTTAAAATTTTGTCCTTTTTTAATCGAATTTTTTGGAGTGACCCTATTAACAAAATTATACAGGTTTCAGGTGCAAGAATTTTAATTGGACTCTCTACCCAGAATTCCACTTACATAAAAAACAAAAACTCACCCTTGTGTAATTGAAGATTCTAGGAACATTGATTTTCAATTTGAATGGAAAAAATGGTAATTTGGAGTATATTGCCAACAGGTTAGCTAGTTTTTTGGTTTTTTTTTACTAAATTATTATCTGTGTACATTTACTATTGCCCCCCCACACACACATGCCCTCCCTCCCCAGAGTTTTGTGTCCCTTGGTTGTTCTTATATGCATGTATTGGGTCGGCAGCTAAGTAATTGCGGATTTTTTAAAGAAAATCAAAGACAATTTTTTCATGGAACTAAATAACTTTATTCTGTAATGTATTGCCCATTTTGATCAATGACCTCTTGCCATCTTTCAGGCAGCATCATAATCCCACGTTCAAAAAACTTCTGGTTTTTATTAGCAAAAAACTGAATCAGGTACGATTTGACATCATCATCATTATTGAAATTTTTACCATTCAAGGAGTTTTGTAAAGATCGAAACAAAAAGTAATCAGATGGTGCAAGGTCAGGACTATATGGTGGATGTGGCAAAACATCCCAACCAAGCTCCATTAATTTTTGCCGAGTGACCAAAGATGTGTGTGGCCTTGCATTGTCATGATGGAATACAACACCTTTTCGATTTGTCAATTCGGGCCGCTTTTCTTCAACTGCATTGTTTAATTTCGTTAGTTGTTCAATGTAGACATCAGAATTGATCGTTCGGTTGGGTGGTAAGAGTTCAAAGTAGACAATTCCTTTGTAATCCCACCAAACTGATAACAAAACCTTCTTTTGATGAATATCAGCTTTTGATGTTGTTTGAGTTGGTTCACCTGGCCTGCTCCACGATCTTTTCCGCTTGATATTGTTGTAAACAACCCATTTTTCATCGCCAGTTATCAGTCGTTTTAAAAATGGATCATTTTCATTACGTTTCTTTAGCAAATCGCAGCTGCTAATGCGTTGCGTTAACTCTGATTCTTTCAGTTCGCGAGGAACCCATGTATCGAGTTTTTGAACATAGCCAAGTTGTTTTAAGTGATTTTCAATGCATGTATGTGATACATGAAGCTTCTCTGCAATCTCACGTGTTGTACTGTGACAGTCCGAATTGATTATTGCTTTGATTAGGGCATCATCAACTTCAACTGGACGACCAGAGCGTTTTTCATCTTTGAGTGAAAAATCACCAGAACGAAATTTGGCAAACCAATTTTGACACTGCCGTTCTTTTAAGGCTTCGTCACCATAAACAGCACATAACTTTTTATGAGCTTGCGATGCGTTTTTCCCTTTGCGGAAATAAAAAAGCAAAATATGACGAAAATGTTCCTTTTGATTTTCCATTTTTCAACGAACGCCAAACGAAAACTACAAAACAGATCAAAAAACTTTTTTTTACTGATTAACAGCTGAATAGCCAACTATCAAATAACAAAATGTGTTTTACATTTGTCCTACGTCTGCAAACCTAAAAATTCAACTGAAGCCATATATGTGTGAAACCAGCAATTACTTAGTTGCCGACCCAATATAAAAGTCCTTCGGTTGATCTCTTATCTACCCCAGATATCCCTACCCTCTCTGCTGTAATTTGACAGTCTGCTTGTTGCTTTACTGTCTCTATATCTATCTTTTGGTTCATCAGTTTATAATGTTCTTTATTATCCATAAATGAGTGAGGTCATGTGGTGTTTCTCTTTCATTGACTGGCTTATTTCACTCAGCATGATGTTCTCCAATTCCATCCAGGTTGCTGCACAAGATGAGAATTCCTTCTTTTTTATGGCAGCATAGTATTCCATTGTGTAGATGTACCATAGTTTTTTGATCCAATCATCTGCTGACAGGCACCTAGGCTGTTTCCAAATGCTAGCTATTGTAAATTGTGCTGCTATGAACATAGGGGTGCATATATCCTTTCTGATTGGTGTTTCTAGTTTCTTGGGATATATTCCTAATAGTGGGATTACTGGGTCAAATGGGAGTTCCATTTTCAGTTTTTTTGAGGAAACTCCATTCTGTTCTCCACAGTGGTTGCACCAGGTTAGCTAACTTAATATGGCTGCCCAAAATAACTTAAAACGGGAGAGAAATTGGTTTTGAATGCATCGGGTATATTTTTTCTGAGACCTATTACAATATGTTTGAATGTCAAGTATTAGTGTAGGACTATTAACCTCTACATTTGGGGATGCATGTAACACTTTTTACATAATAAATTGGAAGGCATAGGCTTTGTTCGTAGGTTCTGTTAACTTTTGGGATGAAAGCATGAGTAGATTTGCCTTTAAGTCTCTGAAATCTTATAATGTGAGAAAATCCTATTTCACATCATGTATTTAGTTGGATTCAAAGTCTTTAAAGTGTTTTTAAAGCATTAAATCTCAGTGTCTTAAATGTCTTCAATGTATGGGGAATCATACTCTTTTTAACGCAATAATTCGGGAATCTTCCCCCTCCCTCTCATTTTTATTTTCACTACTTCAGAAATAGCCTCAAACCTCCTCCCTCCCTTTGGAAGGTTTGGGATCCTGCAAAAAGGCTGCTTGTTAACAAAATGGGTTTAACTTTTCTCTAATAGGGAAAGAGATGAAGTGAGTGGGTTTAGAAAATTCTAAATATTTGTGACATATTGTAAAGTTTATTTGATGAGTAATTGTGTGTGTTTTTTTCTAACAGGAAAATTGCAAATAGGAATAATCAAATTTTTTGAGTGCCTACTATGTGCCAAAATTATATTGGTATTCTCTGGTATAGGACCTATTATTGGCTGTATTTTACAAATAGGAAAACTGAGGTTCAGAGAGGCTTCTTAACAGCTTAGTTAAGAAGCAAGGTCAGTGTTCAAACTGAGTTTGATTGAGATATCTAGTCTGAGGCTTGAAACTAGTATCAATTTTATTATCATTAATTGTTCACCATCTTAAATTATCATATTGTCTACTTGCATTTGCTGCTTTATACTTAGATTCAGACTTATCTCAAAGAAAATTAAAAAATTTAGCCTAAAGATTTTAAAATTATAGTTTATCTCCAAGCCACACATGGAAGTTTTTGTATTGACTTCTAGTTAGGGTTATCTGTTATTGTGTGCTTTCTTCATTCTCCATTTAAGATAATTGAGAGGTTTCTTTTTATTGTGATGAACAAAATAGAAAGTATATATGATTTTCTATACAATGAGTCATTTACCTTGCTAGAGTAGCTTATACACTCATCTCAATTTCTGAATGGAAGTACTCTGGCCTCCCAATTACAGGGCACACCATCTGGGTAAGTATGCTCTTTCCCCATGAAGCTTAGTGGCTTGACTAATCTTAGCCCATTTTGCCTTGGAAAGGATAGATGTCCCAACAAGCCATTGAGCCCATTTTCTCAATTGCATCCTTATTCAATAGGTTCCTATTGGCAAGAGATGATGTACTTTTCTTTAATAAGATAGTTTACCTCATTTCTCAGGTTTGTTGTACCTGCGATGTTCCATCTTCCAATAAAGATTACTTAGTATTTTTCTTCTTTCAGCTTATGCTATGTATCTGTTAACTTGGCTGAAATGTGGATAATGTCATCTCTTACTGGCTCTATCACTTTTTTAAAAAATATATTTTATTTATTTTTTTACAGAGAGGAAGGGAGAGAGAGAGCTAGAAATGTCGATATGAGAGAGAAATAACGACCAGCTATCTCTTGCACACCCCCTACCGGGGATGTGCCCGCAACCAATGTACATGCCCTTGCCTGGAATCGAACCTGGGACCTTTCAGTCCACAGACCGGTGCTCTACCACTGAGCCAAACCGGCTTCGGCAAGATTCTTACTGGCTCTATCACTTTATGTTCTAAATTCTTTCCTCCATTATGGTCTTTACCACCTCCACCTGCCAATTTTAGAATCAGTAATAAATTGAAATTTCTCTACACAGGTTATTTCTTTGAACAAGAAATAATGTTCACGCACTTTACTCTGGTTTACTTGCCAAGCATCATTGCTAATGTTCTTATATTTGTTTTTTACCTTAAGTTTTATAAAGTATTTTTTACATTTCAGAAGAGTTTTATCTATTATCTGACTTCACTGTTTCAGAGTTAAAAAGGTTAAATGTTCACTGTTATAATGAGGCATGAAGAAAATGAGACACGTGGAAATGTTTTGGTCAAGATAGCACTGCAAACTAATGGTAAACACTGAAATTCTGTGCTTCTGCCTCTGGTGGAACTTGGTTGCCTCTACTCCTACTATAATTAGAAAAGAAAGTCAGAACACTTTAGAGTGGGCAAGTCTGACTTGTTTTGGTGCTATGGTGAGAGAAATGAACAGAGAAAGCATCAGCTTTTTTTTTTAATTCCCATCATAGTAGTGAAGATATTTTCCCAATGGTATGCAGAGAGAGTGGAAGGAGGGGGAAGGAAGAGAGAGAAATACCTAAGTGATAGAGATACATCAATTGGTTGCCTCCCACACATGCTTAGAGGTGGGAGGGCAGGGATCTGACTTGCTACTCAATGGGACCTGAGACCCTCCCAGTGCACAGACTGATGCTCTAATCACTGAGCAGGCCAGCCGTGGGGTGGCATAAGCATTTTTCATTGCTGTTTGTTTAAATCTTGCATTCAGGATGCATTTCAGATTTAGCTATCAAGAAGAGCTTAGTGTTAGTACAAAGAGAAATAGTTCATTTGAAGAGTTGATTTAAATACTTTTTTTCTGGTGTAGACCTATGTTGTAGAAAATTAATAGGTTTAGGGTAACCAAATCCTTATTTATCATCTGTTGCAAGTGATAACAAAGTTAAGGGGCATTAACTACATTGGATATAGTTGATGGGCTAGAGTGTAGTGAAGACTAGACATAGGTGTGGCCCCTTTTAATGTAATGCTACTGATTTTTTTTTTCCCCCCTAAACCTTAATTTCAGTTTTTATACATCATTTGTAATTTGGTGGAACACATAATCAGGAGAGAGGGGCTTGGAGCACAGACAGACCTGCTAGAGTTATAAAGCATTCACTAGTCTCCCAACCAGATGAGATTTGGACTTCCATTAACTCGTTTTTGGTGGTGTTTTTTTCTACCAATGGAACCTTGTACCTGAGCTTTGAGCATTGATAAGAACTATATACTGGAGAAGCCTAGAGGTTTAACTGCTTACTCAGGAGTGACAGAGCTGGAGCTGTTCATTCTGAAATCCTTAAGTGTTTATCCAAATCAAAAGTAAGGACAAGACGTAAGTTTCTTTAACCCAAACCAGATAATCCCACACTGCCTGAATCTGATTGGTTATTGGTTGATATTAAAAATAAAACCACAGAAAGTTATAGAGACTCTCTAATATCTCAGTTTTCCAATAAAAGGAAATAACTTCTAAATAAATGAATTTTCTAGATCAATAAAACTGTATACCAGAGATTTAATACTCTCAACAATTTTCGTGTAATGTTTCTTAAGTATATGTTTGAATGTTTTTTTAAGCAGTGTAATGAACCTGTTGGTTAACTTTTCATTTGTAATGTGTTTCTAGATCATCATTTTCAATACTAATTTTTCTACTATATTCACCAGTACAGTGATGCCAGTGACATGATATTCTGTTCATGCTCTAAAAAAAAAACAAGAGTGCTAATTACGTACTAGGTACTACGATAGGCATTTAAATATAAATGTTCAGTTATTACAGCATCCCTATCAGGTATTATTTTTTCCAACCATAAGTCTTAGTGTATTGAATTTTTAAAAAATCCTCACCCAGGGATATGTTTTTATTGATTTTGGAGAGGGAAGGAGAGAGAAACATCGATCAGTTGCCTCCCATATGAACCTGAAGCCTTTTAGTGTATAGGATGATGCTCCAGCCAACTGAGCCACACGGCCAGGGTATATTGGTTCTTTGGAATAGTAATGGTCTTTTCCTGCACCCAGCAAGAAATCTAGATTTGTTATAATTTAAAATCTTTTCATTGTAAATAATGTAAATTATTTGTTATAATTTGTTATAATGTAAAATCTTTTCATTTTAAAATTTTTATACAAGTGTATGAATGTTTGTTAGACTAGAAATCAAGCTGTCTGCGGGCTATATCCAGGCTAATTTAAACTTTTTTGAATGATGATTTGGTCTGCGCTATCAACTACCTTCACCCCATTCTTGGGAAGTGCTTGTTTTGATGAGGTTTATTGGAGCTTTGCAACAGGATACAAAAAGAAAGAAAAAAGCTCTCTCATTTCATTTTATAGGAGGAACTAAGGTATCCTCAAGCACGGAGGAAACGTTAACTGTTTATACTCAAGTTGTACTATTTTATTGTCAGTTTTTCTTGCTGTCGATGTATGATTGCTTTGACCCATAGTTGTCTTGGTGTAGTGGCATTTCCCCTCTACTACCATTGTTCCCCATTTCCTGAGTGTCCTATAGACCTCTTTTTTGTCAGTATATTTGGTGCATCTGTTTGTGTCAGGATACACAGATCTATCTCATCTAAAAGTAGAATAATCCACTTATGTTAATTCACACAGTACATTGATTGTGGCACTTCTCAAAATTTTTCCTCAGGATTCCTTCACACTTAAAATTGAGGACCCCCAAAAGCTTTTGTTTATATAGTTTGTATCTGTTGATATTTACCATATTAGAAATTAAAACTAAGACTTTCAAGGGCTTTTCTAAAAAATTTTAATGAAAGTGTCATTATTTTATATTTTTACAAATCTCTTTAATGCCTGGCTTAAATTTTTTTAAAAGGAGGATTCTCCTCTGCATTTAGCCTGTTGCAATATCACAGTATGGACACTAAGAAAAATAAGAATAGAAAATTCAAGTGACTTTTTAGTAATATGAATATAATTTTGATTTTCCAGACTCCTTAAGATCCCACACTTTGAGGACATTTGGCATTGTTTCTAGTTTTTTATCATTGACATCTTTTCTTCCTTTCTTCTTTTTTTTAGTGGTATTTTTTGTTTGTTTGTTTTGTTTTTGTTTGTTTTTTTCAGAGAGAAAGGGAGAGGGAAAGAGAGAGGATCAAGGATCCGCCACCTCCTACATGTTCCCCACTGGAGATCAAGCCCAGAACCAGGCACGTGCTCTGCCGGGAATTAAACCGTGACCTGGTTCATGGGTTGATGCTCAATCACTGACCCACACCAGCCAGAGCAAAAGTTGTTAATTTTGATCTTTTTTTTCTTTTGGTTAGGTTGAGCTTTTGTGCAATTTCACTTCTAAAGAAGCTTTACTTACTTAGTTGCCTTAGTTCTATGACACTAGTCATCTTGCATCTTCTGAAATGTTAGAATCTAGATGGTTTGGTCATTCTACTGTATTTTTATGTTTTCTAGAGATGATTTTTTTTTTAGGACATGATATATTTCAAAATAGGTTTTTGGGGGGATGTGTTTTCTTATAGAAACCATGTTTTAAGTGTAATTATAAGCCATGATTCATCTTTAAAAAGTAAGTTTGATCCATAATATACCTAACATACTCTGATTTCTTTGGGAAATAATAGAATACAATTTTTGTTCTGGTAGTTAAAACAGTACAAAATATTTACAAAAGTTAGTTGAAGACTTTTGATAAGCGCCCTTTTCTCAACTGTCTAGTCACTATTTGGGACGGGTAAAGCAGCTGTTAAGTGTAATATGAGAAGAAATGAAAGCTTTGAGTGAGAGACAGGTGCAGAGAAACCTGCTTCTTCTCAAGCATTTTGGGCCAGAACCTGTCTAGATTAGTGCATTGGGGATTAAACAAAATGGTTGATGAGGGGAAAGAAGTTTAGATTTAAAATTTGCTTTTTGTCACAAAGCATAAATCATTTTCTATATATCATGAGTCTTATGATATTGCTGGTGGGAGAGTGGGGGAATCAGAGGTGTGCAGATTAGCTTAAATTGAAAAATAAATTATTTGAAGATGGAGAAGTGTGGTAATTCCTATAATAAGACATTTCTTTAGCTGAAATTGTATGTGTATCAAATGTTCAAAAAGAAAATATGTCTGTATGTAAGGAATATATAGTTTTGCTGCTTTGCAGTTACATAATGGAATATCTTTTCTTTTGTTTCCTAGGCTCTCTACTTTTAGAATCCAAAATAAATCCTAACACTGCATACCAGAAACAACAGGTAAAAATTTGAAGATGTGTTTTATTTTGCATATTATCCTCTCATATTTTGGTGAT